TTAAAATATAAAAGACATAAAAAAATTTATATAATATTGGTGTCAAATGATTGTTAAGAGGTTGTTAATTTAAAGAGAAATAATATATATTATTTTACTAAAAAGGTATTTAACCATTTCACTAAAGATTAGATAATAAGATGAAACTTATTTTTAACAAGATTTCCTACTTGCTTAGGAAGGTGTTTAGAAAGGTCTTCCTAAACAAGTAAAAATATTTCCTAAACTTATTCTTACGAAGATTTTCTACTTGTTTTCTCTCTCGGTCGAGCAAGTCTCTATCCTATGCAGGTTGTTTGCAACTAATTCAGTCAGTTATAGAGAGTGTGAAAAACTAATGGTATTCATAATTCCAAAGAGATCTTCTAAGACCATAGAAAGCATGTGCTCTGCCTTTCTTTGGTCAAACTCTCCTCATACTGCTACAAAAGCAAAAGTTGCTTGGAGTGATCTATGTTTGCCTAAATAAGAGGGAGGGTTTGATATCAGAAAGATGGAGGGCTCATCTAAGGTATTTACTTTAAAACTAATATGGAGATTGTTCAGTAATGCTGGTGCACTTTGGGTTGCTTGGACAAGGCACTATCTCATTCGCCAGTCTTCCTTTTGGGATATATCGGAGAAAACCACAAGAGGTTCTTGGATGTGGAAAAATATACTAAAGTTCAGGCCACTAGCTGCTACATTTCTCAAAACAAAGATCAGAGATGGTGCCTCTACTCGCTTTTGGTTTGATAAATGGCTAAGTATTGCTCCATTAATTGATCTGGCTGGCGAACTGGGAACAAGGATACTAGGAATTAACAGAAATACAAAAGTCTCAGATGTAATTAAAGAGAATGGGTGGGCATTACGTTGAACAATTACACTTGCAACATATGATTTTGCTCATTCAGCAACTCCATGTTCCAGTCGTTTCAACGGGGCATGATCTTGTGTTATGGAACAAATACGAGACTGTTTTGAAGGCAAATTCGTCTCAAAATGCACATGGAATCAAATTTGAATGCAGGAGCAGATTGTTGAATGACATAATTTAGTCTGATTCGCTCAAACCGTCCCACGACAAGCGTTCATCATCTGGCTTGCATTCTGCAACCGGCTCTCCACCGGAGATCGAATGTGAAATTGGGGAATCCTACAAGCTTGCACTCTCTGTGGTGAAATGAATGAAACGAGCGATCATCTCTTTTTGATGTGTCCTTACTCTTACACAATATGGACGATGATTAGCGCTGGTCTCCTAGGTACAAGAATCAACCTAGACTGGATAAGGACAATTATAGCGCATCCATGATTAGCGTTGATTCGCATTGCTTCGAAATCGACTAACCAAGATCGACAACACCCTTGCTCCTATGGCTTTTCAAGCCACAATCTACTGGATTTGGAGGGAACAAAATGGAAGACTTCACCAGCAGCCTCATCACTCTGTTTCCTTCATTGCACATACAATTCATAAGGAGATTCAAAGCCGGCTAATTGCGATTAAAGAATCCAAAAACATCGAAGAAGAGAGCCTCGCAAGATGGATCTCAATCTCTAGTCTCGGTGGTTGAAGATCACTCATCCTCTCTTTCACTTTTGATTTCAATGTATTAGAAATTATTTTCGGTTTTAAAGATTTGATCACCTAATTTAAAAACCGATTTGTAAATTCTTTTTATTATTGATAAATAAATATCACATTTCAAACAAAAAAACAAAGAGAGGTCAGTACACTTTATCGCATCACACAATTAATATATAAGTCCTTTCATAAGATGCTTAGTAGAGTATTTGTTTACTAGTATGTCTTTCTCATTGTCAGTTTCGATGAGCTGGTTTTGTCGGCCACTAATCGACTAACATATAAAATATAATAAGGCTAAAATCTATTCAAAGTTGTTGGCTGCCGAAATTTCTATAGAAGTGCCTTCTTCCATGGTAGAGATACAAGTACAATTAAAACATTCAATTGCAGTTTCTGCTTTTGAGATTCATTATCCCACATCGTTACCATGGGTAAAGTAGAGATGCCATGTTTCGATCATCCTCTATTGTGTGTAAAATTTGGGTTTGGGGATAAACCAATTTTTTGTGATGGGTTCAATGAACCATATGGAAATGGCCTATTCTGCGAATTGTGCAACTTAAAGGCGCATAAGGAATGCATCGAGTGGTCACTCAAATTCGCCGGTCACTCTAGACACCCTCTCAAGAAGGTATCACCCGGAACACTCGACTATACTGATGGTAAATGTCATTTTTGTAGAAAAATCCCTTCGGAAGATTTATATCATTGTTCAATATGCAACTTCAACCTAGATGAAGATTGTAGACACGACCAACCGAAGACTATCTATAATCCGAGGAGCCACGAGCATCCATTTATGCTCTTGGAAAGACAGATCTGCTTCCCTTGTAATGCATGTGGGATGCTTGGAGATCGTAATCCTTATGTATGCATTGAATATGATTTCATGATCCATAAAGATTGTATCGATCTACCGCGAGTCATAAACATCAATCGTCATGATCACCGTATTTCTCGCATTTATCATCTCGGTCAGGGCAACTGGGAATCATGTGGAGTTTGTCAGAAAGAGATAGATTGGACTTTTGGAGGTTTCTCTTGCAAGCTTTGTCCAACTTATGCTGTTCATTCAAAATGTGCAACAAATAGGAAAGTGTGGGATGGAGAAGAACTAGAAGATAAGTCCGAAGAAGAGGAACAGATCTTAGACCATCATTATCCATGATACACACATGGTATCATTAAATATTAAATTATTAAAAACATACTCTCTCTTCCTTTTACTCAACTTTATACCTTCTCTTTCATCCCTTTACTCAACTTTTATTAATTTTATACTCTCTTTAAATATAAAATTATTAAAAACACACTCTTTCTCTCTCCAAAAGTATCAAATAGTTGATACGTTTGATACTATCTCTCCAAAAATATTCACTATCTCTTCTCTTTACTCAAATTTTATTAATTTTATATTTCAATACACCCCATAATTTTAACCAAAAACACTCTTTTTCTTACTTTTACTCAAATTTTAATAATTTTATATTTAATAATACCCACAAATGTATCACCAATAATGATCCATACACCATATTAAATGAAAAAGAAATCATTCATTTCACTCATAAGGAACATATTCTAAGAGTTGGTGAGGATAATGCTACGGATTTTGAGGATATGCACTGTGATGCTTGCATCCTTCCCCTCAACGATGATATATTCTACATATGTGTGGAATGTGATTTCTTCCTTCATAAACTGTGTGCCAATCTTCCTCGGAGGAAACGACGTGTCCTGCATGTTGAACTAATGAC